GTCGGTCTTTATATATATTAAAAGTTTTTTTTTCTGTTTACGTTTATTTGACAACCTTAAAAACAAAATTGAAGTAAGAAAAGTGTGTGTGAAGCAAAAGTTCTTTTTTTTTGTAACTTGAATAGAAGAAGAAGAAGCGAAGGAAACTAAAGTATAAAAAAAAAATCTACGAAAATGAACAACAATCAAACGAATATTGCGACGGCCTTGGCCACGGCCACAGGCACGGTCCAAACGCTGGAGAGGCATGCCAACATTAGTTGCAGCAACTGTTGCAACACCAGCAGCAACAGCAACAGCAACTGCAACAGCAGCAGCAACAGCAGCAACAACAGCAACAGCAACACAAACAACGCCACATATTATTATCAGAGAAGATTGCAACACCTGCTGCTGCTCGCTTTGCTCGTCTGCGTTGCCAGCCTCAACAGCTGTTGGCTCCAGCCGGTGCAGGCGCGACGCCACGCCCCCTTAATGTTCGAGGAGGCCGATACGGCCAGACGCTCCAATAGACCAGCAGGTAAGTCCAAGTATAAATATCATACATAGTATCGTATCGTATCACATCACCTCGAATCGAATATACCCAAGCTAGATCATATCCAATCCAAGTCCACGTATAAAGCCATCATATCATATATAATATCACATAATATCGAACATAGTCGTCAGGTTAACTCGTAGGCAATCTAACATTGCGCATACGCCCCGTCCGTCAGCTGGCCATAAACATGTTGTACGTTTTTTTGGTCGGCTTTCGGGTTTTCCGCTGGACAGCAGGTAGTGGTAGCCGGCTCGCACCCTTAAGCCGGCAGCGTGCTCGCTCCTTTGGGTTTTTCACAATTTTTTATGCCCGCCTGCTAATCCGGAAAATGGGAATTCCCTTCCGACTGTTTGCTGCCTGCCCGCTGCCTGCTAGGCCCAGACACCGAGGCGTCCTCAATGTTTGGGCCTTTGTCATGGGCTAAGCTGCTTAGCAGCTCACACACAATATACAATATACCATATATAGATATATATAGATCTCTCTCTCTATATAAATATATTTATTTGTATATATTTATGTATATTTTTATGGATCAGACCCAGTTTTGTTGGCCCTGGCTGCTGTTACGATTCTTACGCTTGATTAGCCGCATTTCCTGTTTTTATATAAAGATTCTCTCATTTTCCTTTTGTTTTGCCCACGCGCCCCATCCCGCTCTCTCTCTCTCTCTTCCCTYCTCTCTCTGTGTTGTTTGCTTCTTCTGTTTTTCAATTAAAAACAGTTTGCGGTTTTTATTGCAACGACTTTGAGCCGTTTCTCGTCTTACAATGCAAAAATGCATAGCAATTGCCGTCCGTCGGCAATGTTCATGTTATTCTTCATGTTAGAACTGATTTGCAATTATTACAAACAATTTTGATAGAGGCCGGGGAAACAATTTTATAACTCTAAAAATTATGTTTGCATTTCATCTAGTTTATTGAACTCTTTCATTTTTATTAGCTCTCATCAAAATCTGTTGTCGTTTGACCATAGCTAAACCCATCTAATCAGCATAATTCAAACAAGATCTATTCTTTTATAATAATCAAATTCAACATAATTCAACTCAGAAATTAAAATTGAGCTTAATTGAATTATAACTAAATTGCTATACAGCTCGATCGTCGTTCAACTAATATTCAAATCTTTAAATGAATGTAAACTCTTAATATATTTTAATATTCCAAGATTTTTGTTGGCAAAACTACATAAATTGTAGGCCCTGTTAGGTGTAGAAAATCTAAATCAAATCGCATGTCGTGGACATAATGCTAGAAACGTAAAATTAGGTTCACTCTGTGATATTTGAAACAATTTCCGAAAATGCCATGCGATGCTGCATATTGCAGCGCCGCCTTTGAGTGCATAAAATTTTATCCAAATCCCACGACATTTACGTAAAGCTAATTATAGAAAAATAGGTTGTACAAATCAAATAATTTGTCTGGTCTTGGCTCAGCTCATTAAATTTTTATACCCAGTGCAATGGGCCAGCATAAGACATAAGCTTAAGCAATAGCAACGGCAACAGCAACAGCAACAATATCCATCAATGGGCCAACATAGCGCCCACTCCAAATAGAGTTTACCGAGTGCTAATTAAAAGCTCAGCATAATTTAGTCGTTATACATACATACATATATACAGACACTAGAGCGTAGTAGTGGAGTTGTAGCCACCTTTCGATTGACTACAAATTCGTTCAACGGCAAATCCCACCAACACACTAAACATGATTTTTTTTAATGAATGAAAATCCAACGCATACACACACACACACACACACACACGCACGCACGCACGCACACCAAATTTTAGCTGTTCTCTTTTAGCCTTCATTTTGGCTAGAGGTAAGTGCGGCAAGCGACGGCGCCGCCGCCAACAGATTGGGCTAATCAAACATCAAAAACCACGCACGTTTTTTTTTCGTCTTCGTGGGACCGAAAGGGGGTGCGGTAGGGGAGACCTACTACTAACTACCAATTCGTTTTGTTCATTTCGCATTTAATTTAGCTGATTAACAAGCGCTGCTGCTGCGGCTGCGGCTGCGGCTGCTGGCCCCCTTTGAAAGACCGGACGGTGGGGCTGCCTACGACGTTGCCTACAGCAGCTGAGCTACCTCTTCAGCCCCTCTCTGTCTGTCTGTCTTTCTGTCTCTGTCTGTCTCTCTCGCACACAGCATTCGCCATTCGTCAGCATAATTCATTTATTCAACTGTCTGCCGCCCAGTTAGGTGTTAAAAAGTTGTTAACTTATTTTTAATGAATGCGTGTAAAAGACAACAACAACAACAGCAGCAGCAGCAACAACAACAACAACAACGAAAATCAAGATGTGCCTACGTAAAGCAGCAAACGAGACAACGACAGACAAACAGACAGACAAAGACAGCAAGAAGGGAGAGCCAGAGCGAGCGGGGGCAGAGGGAGGGCGAACGCGATGCCGTTTGGCATCTCGGCAAACATATCCATGATCTTTAACGAAAAACGAATACGAATGCGAAGCACATGAAAAAAGCCAAAAACAAAACAAAAACAAAAATAAAAGAGCTGAAAAAAAAAACGAAACACGTTAAGTCCCAACAGCCAACAGCCACGACGCGCCGTCTGTCAGACGCCAAATCTGCCTTTTTTTTAGCCTTTTTGCATCAGCAGCAGCCGCAGCCGCAACTGACTTAAGATACCCGCATTTGCAGAGGAAATATGTGACTGGCCTAGGCTAAAAGTTTTTTTCGCGCGTTTATAATATAGGGTTTGAAAAAAAGCTAAACGAAATTAAACAGGGCTTAGTTATGAGGGAGTTGTAACAGAGGTAGACAGATATAGCGGTATATGAAGTTAAAGAGAGAGAAAGAAAAAACTGCTAAAAACTGCTTTGTCTCGGGATAACTGCACAGAAAGCCAAGAAAAGGGCTAAAAACAGCTGTCAGGAGAAATCTGAAGCTAGATATATAGAGAGGATACAAAAAAGTTGAGAAAAATATAATATATGGCTAGGAAAGTTTATACAGCTAAGACTATACAAGCTTTCATTGTATGAGTATACATATATATCTTAACTATATAGCTAAAAAGCTAACCAAAAACATCTATATATTTAGCTTTAAGTCAGTTGGGTGAAAAACTAACTACCTAAGATTTTCTTTTAGCTGCAATGCTTGTCAAAGAGAAAAAACTAGCTTTAAGTTTACCCGTAATTTATACAAAGTTAGAGCTATATATCTTGGCCGTAAAGCTAGCTAAAAAACTAGCTAGTTTTCGCTAAGCTGCTTAGGGTGTTTAAGTTTCGGCTTTTGTTGCTTTCTTCAGGCTGAATTTGTGGCTGTCGGGCGACAGGGACCCAAAAAAAAAAAAACAACACGATTGAGCCAACAGCCGGCGTCAGCGTCGGCGTCGGCGCCGCCGTCGACGTCACTGTCAGTTGCATGTCAGGCAGTCGAAAACGAAATGCAACCAATTTGTTGCCGGCAGCGACAACAGCAACAGCAACAACAACAACAGCAACAAAAGCACCCAATTGCAGCCTTTTTTGGCTTGGAGACGAGGCGTCGCCAGTTTCGCCGCAATCGCCAAATCGCCGCCAGCCGCCAGCAGCGGCAGCGGCAGCGACTGCGTCGCAATTCGCTGGAGTCGCGTGTGGGCAGAGGAAGCACTTAATGCCCACAAGGTGTCAAATTGCAGCAGAGAGTTTGTTTTCTGTTTTTGTTGTAGTTGTTGTTGTTGCTCTTTTCTAGCTCGAATTCGAAGTCGAATTTCGGTTACGAGCTCGTTGGGGCTGTGCGGCTCGCCCACCCAGCCCAAGGAGAAGCCAGCTCTAGCTAGAAAAGAGCCAAAGCACAAGGTGTGTGTCTGTGTGTGTGTTAATTAATTTGACTTTTTTTTGTTGTATTTGCGGCTGCAGCGTAGGCAAATAAGATACAGCTACGCTTCACAGCTTCGTGGGCTGGCTTTTTTTTTTTTTTTTTTTGGCTGTTGCACATTTCCGTTTGAGTGAGAGAGCAAGCGAGGAAGGGAGGGAGAGGGAGAGAGAGGCAGAGTGGGTGTGTGAGCTGGCCGTTTTTTCTTTTATAGTTTTTGGCCGGAATTAGCGGGAATGAATGCAAATCAATCGAGAAATCGCCTTTGATTGGCAGCTTCGTTCTGGTTTCAGCTACATTTTCCAGCCATTCAATTAGCACAAACAGTTAATCTGCCATGACCGCCCGCCCGTCTGCCGCTTGCGCATCACTGTTAGCCAAAAGCGCCGCCAAAGGGCTCACTATACATAGATATTGAAAATTATGGCAAATATATTCATATCTATATAGTTTGCACAGAACAATTTTTTAGCTTTTTTATAGCCATTTTAGTCAAGTTGAAGTAGAGTAAAGTAAAATCAGTTGATGCATTCGCGTAGATTTATTAAGGGGTATTATGTGTCTGTTGTGCTATTTTCTATTTGTGGGAATCTCCTTATAGATGCATTATCTTTTTACCAGTTTAAAGCTCTGTTCTGTGCTTACGTTCCACTGAGAGCTTTTGCTCTACCAGATCTGCACAGATCTACAAAGTATTTTCCTTCTTTGATTTCTTGAGCAATGAGTCGCGTGCTGCTGCTTCTGCCGCTGCAGTCTCATTCATTGCAGCTGCAGCGATCATCATCATCGTCATCATCGTCATCAGCATCAACGTCATCAGCAAACTAGAGCCCACACCCACCGCCCAGCTGCCACCTTCCACTGCTCAGCCACGAGACACACATCCTTAGAATATTTGTGCAACTTATCAGCGCATTTAAAATTAGCCAGCAACAACAACAGCTACAACAACAGCAACAGTAACAACAATCTTCTTTTAGCATTGTTTTTGCCGTCTGAACTCTTGACGACATCTGCGACGGGGGCAACTCGCAGTCGCGTGATTTGCTTTGTAAATGAGCAAAAATGCAAAACTAAAACCAAAAACAAAAACAAAAACCAACAACAACAAAAAAAATCGAAAAAATTAAAAATAAAAAAAAATAAAAACGGAAAAAGACAAGCAAAAACAAATGAAAAATAAAAAAAATAAATAAATAAAAATAGTCATTGAAAATGTTTACGGCCAGAGACGCGTTGCCTTTAGCTGCCTTCAGCTGACTTTAGCTGCCTTTACAGCTCTGTTCCAAAATAGCCAACACACACACGCACATACACACACACACACACACACATATGCACGGAAATTAGCTGCTTTTGGGGCAACTCATGCGCAATTGTCTAAACAAAATTTCACAGACACTAAAATAATTGCAACGCTGGCAACACGAGTTCGTTCCACAGCGGCTTCCATTTAGCTTCTTTTTTTGAAGCGGCTTCTTTTTTTTAAGCTAAATATATGTTTTACAAATAGTTAAGTGCATATAAAATGCTGCTTAGTGTTTGTTAAAGCAAAGCATAGTTTAAGCTCAAATTCAATATTATTAGACTATTAGAGATAGCCAAGTTTTAGCAGTTTTTCAAGTTATCCATATTATGCCGATAGCTATGCCATTTTAATCATATTTCGCGCCTGAAAAACATTTTCTCCGATTTTCTCTCAATCAAAGTTCAAATTAAATTTAGGATTTTATTGCTGACTCCTTCTAGAGTCGTCTACTCTATTATATATACAGTAAGTATATCCTTGAGAAATCACAGCGGAAGCAGTCTTTGCATATATATCTGCATATATCGTATATAGATCGTCTTTAGATCGAGCATATGGCATCGTTTGTTCGTTTAGCTAATTGGCCAACAATTGTCATTCATTATGAGTAAACCTTTTCTCCCTCTCTCTGTCTCTCTCCCTCTGCTTCCACATCTTAGACTTTGCTTGTCTTACTTTTTACATGAACTTTGTCGTCTCATTGAAATGCTTCCCGACTTTTTTGTTCTTCGAATATTTTGCCAATTGTTGTTGCCAAGGCGCTTCGCAATAAGAACAACAATAACAAGAACAATACCAACAACAACTGCAGAACGAGCCCCTTTTTTTGTAGTGTATTTAATGTGCGCGTTTTGCTAGCGTTTTTAAACGCGCCGTCGCCACATTTTGCGGCTTTTTCACGTTTGAACTTTTTCTTCTTCTTTACTTTCACACTTTTTAATTTTAAGGGCGATTGCTCCACATGCGCCCTCTGCGTGTGTGTGTGCATGTGTGTGTGTGTGTGTGTGTGTGTTTGTCCAACGGCCTCTGCTGTTTGTTTGCTTTGTTGGGAACGACATCGCCGCCGCCGCCGCCTCAGTGCGTTTGTCAACTGACCCCCACCCTCCCGGCTGGTTCGCCTGCCCTGCCGCACCCCCTTGACACGCCCACCGGCTCACACCTACCGCTTGTCTGTCATAAATTATCTCAACAACCAGCGCAACTCCAAAAAAAAAAAAAAAAAAGGCAAAGGAAAGAAAAAGAAAACGTAATCAGCCATTAGAGATCTTTATTTCGTTGCGTTCACAAAACACAAATTGAGCAAAGCACGACTAGCTGATATCCTACATTCTAGATTTTTATCTTACACCTCTTTATCTCTATAAGGATTCTTGAATATATAGATATCAAAATTTTCCCGAAATATTCTCCCAGTTTTTTGTTCATTACATATATAACTGTATCCTATTTATATATATATGTAGTATATTCATAAAATATATTCATTCCTGGCGTACACTAGCTTTCTCCCTCACTTACTCCCTCTCTCTCTCTCATTCTCTGACTCTCACTCTTTCCTCTGTCAGTCAAACCAGCCGCTTTACACAAGGCTTTATTTTACAGGGTATGCAGACAAATGGGTGCATTTGCTGTTTGAGGTTACATTTTTTGTTAGCTTTGCACTTAAATAAATTTAATTGCTTATAAAATAAATAAAGTGGAACGCGGTTGAGTGAGGCGACAAACTGAACTGAAGTAAATACCAAATGCTAATGCAGCAGAAGTATATACTAAGAAAAAATACTAAGTAGCAATGCATTCAAAAACTAGAAATACTAAATGGTATATACCATGATAATGGTGACATATTAATGAAAATATATGAATACTATATGATCTATAGGAAAAGTTTTGTAAATATTTGGTAAATATTTGATATATATCAATATATAATACCGAGAAAAGAAGAAGGAGAAGCAGCAGCAGGAGAAGGAGAACTACTATTTGGGCTCTTCCGTCATAATTTTGTCCACACTCCGAGTCTATTTATTGACATTGTTTTATTTAGTTTTCTGCGGCTGTTACTTTTTGTTGTGTGCCGCGATCGATCGATCTATTGATTCTGATTGATTGCCCGCATCGATTGATTGACAGCTCGACACTCGTTGCTGTCAAATTTGAAGAACGCAAACAGAGACAAACGAGACAAAAAGACCGAAATAATAAAACGGCTCAAGAACTCGATAAGCCGACTAATCGACGCGTTCAATCTGCCCTCACACACACTCATTCTCTCACTGTCTCTCCCTCCCCCTCTCTCTCTCTCTCACTCTCACTCTTTCTCTATTTTGATTTGTCTTTGATTTGATTTGATGAACATTTTACGCTAATTATTTTGCAACAATTAATTAAGGCGCAAAACACAAATAACATGTTGTAAATTAACAACTAGAAGAGCGTAGCTATACACCATATATCTCTCCCACTCTCTCCCTCTCTCTCTCTCTCTCGCGTGCACTTTTTGTGCTGCTTCTACCAATTCGCCGATTTGTGCTGATCTTTTAACTCAATTAAAAGCGCACGCAGCCAAAAAAAAAAAATAAAAAAAAAAAAAAAGAACAGAGCAAATATTGCAGGCAACTGCTTGACTAGAGAATACCCTGTAATTAGATTAGTATATGTCCCGAAATTAATATCGTTTAGATCAACATATTCTCTAGCCTTCTAGACACTTATGCTTAGTTTATGTCAGCAGCTGCTCGACTAGTCTATACCCTGTAATTATATTCAGCTTTAGCTATATCACATTTAGTAATTAAATTTATGGAAATGCTCTTACTTTTACCTTAGAGAGGCATTTATTGCTTTTGCCTATAGCAATCAGTGCTCGACTAGCTAATACCCTTCACTTAGCTTGTTTTACAGGGTATGCGCAAAGCACTTTGCGACTGTGCGTGTGAGAGTGCGTGTGTGTGTGTGTGTGTGTGTAGGCTGCAAAAAATAGTCAAAAGAAAATGCTGCGCCAGTGCGACGCCGCTGTCGACGTCAGCTGCAGCAGCGACGGCAGCAGCGACAGCGCCAGCGGCAGAGGTTCTGCGTCATGTGAGTCAGCAACGCATTTGGCAACACCAAGGCGAATTTATAGTTGGCTAAAACGAATGACCAACAAGACAAGACAAAACACACACTGAGAGAGAGAGCGAGAGCGAGAGCGACAGTGTGTGAGCGGGAGGCAGAGGGAGAGGCAGAGACGTACAGTGGGGCCACGTGTTGTTGGCAGCCAGAGCAATGTTTATTAGAAGTTGAAATGCCTGTCGCTGCCTTTTGACTGTAATTAGCACATTGTGCGAAGATTCATCTCTTGCTTGTTGCTTGTTGCAGCAGCACGAGCAGAGAGTGGGAGATGGTGGGGGGGGG